CTAGCAGTGGTGACACTAAAGGACCACAGGTCTTGGAACACTGTATCAAAGAGCAAAAGAACTGGGTTTCTAGCTGAAAATACCATACCCAGTAAAGCTAAGCATAATTCTGAATGGAAAAAAAAAAAAGACATTTAATGAATTGTTGGATTTTTGAGACTTTGCTTAAAAAAAAAACAAAAACCTGAACTTAAGATTTGACATACAGGAGCCAAGAGAAATATAAGGTATATACCAATGGCCAGTTACAAGGGGCTCATGGGTAGGCTGTTTCCTTTTTATATATGTAAAATGGAAAACTTGTGTCTAAGATTGTAATTAGTAGTTAGGCAGCTTGTAAGGAAGATTGGGGCAAACCCTGAGTATGATAGGACTTCAAAAAGTAAAACCATTCAGTAACAGCTAAAAGAGTAATTATCTTATACAAATGAGGTGCTGGAGGAAGAACCAAGAGGAATTAGATGGGGGGGGGGAGCTGTTAGTTCTGCAAACCGACTTTCATTGGAAATGGGTTCAAGAGGGAAAAATACATATACATCTAGAAGAGTGTAAAAGTTTTCTAAATTTAGGAAGAAAACTCTTAAGGGCATAGGGAGGGGGGAGAGGATAAAGGAGGGGTCTTTAGAGGAGAGGGTGAGGGAATAGGTTAAAAGGGAAATATAGAAGGGTGTTTGGATTTATGAGAAGGGGAAGATAAGGGAGGAATTGTTGTGGGGGGGGTTAGGTTAAGTAATAGGAGGGCAAGATAGTAGGTAGAGGTAAAGTAGAGAAGTTAAGAGAGATTGGAAAAAAAGCACAAACATAAAAACAGATTTGGAATAGAATGTCTTAGGGAAAGTATATGTTTATAAATGTATGTATATATCTATGTATGTGTATATGTGTACACGCATGTGTATGTATCAGTATGTATGTATAAATATATCCTTGCTTAATTGTAGCCTGGGAAGGGAGAGGGAGGAAGGGGGGAAAAGAACAAGTCAAAAGTGTACAGCAGAGAACAAAAGAAAACCTACAGGGAAGCAAAGAATAGATGGACAGCTTTCAACATAATACTCAGTATTTAATATGTAGGCTTTTTTGAAATGGAAAGTTATTGCTATGTATTCTGAATCCTCTCCTACGTTTTGCTGTGCATGTGACATTTTTTTCTTAAGTTTATAATGTTTCTTTTTCTTTTTTATGTATTTGTTTTAGTATTTGTCTAAAATTAAAAAGATAAAAAAAGGAGAAAAAAGCTCTCAAGGAACTCACATTCTAATAGAGGGAGACAACACCTTTACAAGATTTCAGCTGCAAGTTAAACGAAAGGTCCCATGGTACAGCAGCAAAGCAGATGGTGTTGCGTCTTCTTTAATGTTTATACCTGATTAAATAATCCCTCTTTCTGATGTTGAACCATTTGACAGTGCCAAGGACTTTGGTGAAAATAACTTTTTCCATTTCAGAGGATCTTCAAAAGATGTGGCTGTAGCAACAGCCGGAACAATTGCCAGGTTATATCTGTACAAGGATTTCTTAGCAGGATAGTATCTGTAGACACTGGTCAGGAAGCATTCATATTCCAAAGGGTCTTGAGTACAAAGACCTGGGCCGTCTTCATCAGGGTCTGAGGCTAGATAGTGGTCAGGGTGGTGTGATTGCACTTACCTGCTACATGCTGACTCCTGTCTTTCCAGGTCCTCCACTGCTTCAGCTGGGATAGCTTACCTGCCTCGTGTGGGACAGTTGGAGGGATGACTGGTCCCTTCTCCAAGGGAACTGCTTCCCCGGATGATGGCTGCAAAGGCTGGCCTGGAAGCAGCACCAGTAATCAAGGGGGGTTCTGCCACTCCCAGGGCTCCAGTGCCTATCCGTCTATTGGCAGAAGCTGGGCAGCAGCTGGAGTTGTTGGTAGTGAGGAAGGGGGACCCTTCTGTTGCAGTTTCATGATGTGTTGTGGCAGAACCATCTCAAAGAATCAGACCAGTTCTATCCAGGTATAGGCATTATTGAGGATTGATGCCCCTCAGAAGTGGGTTAGATTCCAAAAGGAACCAGCAATTTCAGAGAAAGCAAGATGGATTTTTATAGAGTAAAGACGCAATTATGTAACATATTATGAATATTGAAATGGCAGGAGGGGTTTGTCAAGGGATTAGGCAATAGGGGAGGGGTCTGTTCTGTGGTTCTGTGGTTAAAGGTCCTGGTTGTGCTGCTTTCTGATTAGCTAGCTATTGTGGTCTTATCTGGTCAAGATAGGTATTGTGGTCCTCTCTTGGACTAAATGATGTGATTGTGGTTGGTACAAGAACACGCCTATTCAAATATGTGAATTGGATCTGAGGGCAGTAGCTAGCTAGGGGCAGTGACTGTATTGAGTCTGGGCGTCTGAGGTGTGGTTAAAACCAGATTATGTGATAAATCAGAACATGCCTGCTGTTCAGTGGGGCCCATAAGGAAGTTAGAGGAATGGGGCTGGGGGCAGCTTTATTTTATTTTATTTATTTATCTTGGTGAGATGATTGAGGTTAAGTGAGTTGCCCAGAGTAGGAAATACTATGCCTGAGGCCAGATTTGAAATCAGGTCCTCCAGGGCCAGTACACTATCCACTGCACCACCTAGCTGCCCCCAGGGAGAGCTTTATTAGGTCATTCCTAGTCAGAGAGTTGGCCCACCCAGTGGGTGCAGTTTCTGTTGCAGTTTCATGATGTATTGTGGCAAAACCATCTCAAAAACAGTTTTCAAAAGAAATAGAAATTGTCAATAATTTGGAAAGTACTCAACTTTATTAATAATCAGAGATACAGATTAAAGCAACTTTCAGGTTCCACATCATGGCCATCAAACTGGCCAAAAAAAAAAAAAAAGGAAAGCAAAGGAGAAATGCCTGGTGAAGTTGTAGAGAAAGAGATACACTTGTTTATTGCTGGTAGATTTTCACACTTGTTGAATCTATTCAGAGAAAACTTGTCATGTAGAAAAGTTGGGAAAGTAATAATACTCTTTGATTTGAACATTCCATTGTTGGGAATATGCCTTGAAAGCGTAATTTAAAAAGCTGTTTCTTTTAAAATGCTCGTAGGAGTATTTTATCTGATTACAATAAACTGGAAGTAATATATCCAACAAGAAGGGAATGGTTTAATATGGTATTTGTAAGGAAGTACTATAGCATAATTAAAATGAACCCTTCTCCATTTAATGAAATATAAAAAGACCTTTATGAAATAATGCAGAATGAAAGATGTAAAATAATTAGAATAGAGTTCATAGTAAATAAAATGACAGAAAAAAAAATGAACAAGAATGAATGGACAAAGAATCTTGATAGAGACCTAGAGTGAATGAAAATTTATTACATTTTATGGAGGGAATTTCATTTATTTAAATTAAATAGTTGAAAGGTAATTACTTGCAATTACTACCTTGATGGTCAGTATTGCTTATGATAAATCACTAAAACATTTTTAAAGAAAGGAAATCATGGCCAAATGGATGATTTTCTGTGTGTGCCCAAAGCAACAAGAAAAATCACTTCGTGAAACACTTGGTCAAGGTCTCTGCCAGTTTATTTTTTTTCCCTCTCAAGAACCTTGCACTATTTTGTGAATCAATACTGCTCATAATTTTACAAACCCTTCCTCCTTAATGTTTTGCAGTAGAGTTTATACTTGAAACCCATGATGTCCTTGGCTGTTAATGTTTCTTTCCTTGGAAGGAGACAGTGGGTCTGCTAGATGAGGTGTTCTGGCTTCCTCTTTTGGTATAATTTACCTCCTCAAAGAAATGGTGATAAAGGCAATGCCTTTCTTTACATTTTACCATTTTCCATCTTGTGGAGTTGACAGTTTGTCAAATTCATTTCAAGCATTCCATAAAATTGATGTTTCTTCCTGCTATTGGTCTCACAGTGAAATCAGCTGCCAACTCCCTTTATGTAACTCTGAAAAGGGTCTGTGTTTTCATCATTGTGGGGAAGTCCCTGGATGGAATCTTCCTTCACCAGTGCAGATTACAACTCCTCTGTGGCTTTGTACCCAAGTTCTAGGGAAGTGTTTGAGATATTTAGAGACATTAAGTGACTTGCCCAGGAGCATATAACTGGTTAAGTGTTAGAGGCAGGATTTGAACCACATTTTCCTGATTCTAATCCCAGAATTCTGTGTATTCTACCATGTTTCCTGACCTGTATCAAGAAGCTCTGCTTTCAAATTCTGTGATTTTCTTATGTCTTCAGGTTGCAACAATGTCAATGCTGATAGGTTTCATTTTTTTCCAGTATATATTCCTCGGTTGTTGGACAGAAAACTCACATTTAGAATCTTCAGCCCCTGAATTAATGTTTACTGATTGTCTAAAGACTTAGTATTTCTTAGCACCCTCTACCCCTTTTACTGCCAACTGTCCACTGACGCTGAGGTAGTAGAAGGGGATCAAACAGGACTCAAGTCCATTTTAGGTTTGGGGTTTTTTGTTTTGTTTGTTTGTTCCATGAGTTGCTATAGCCAAAGCATTTATTGTCTAATGGCCAAACTACTAGTGATGATCCTTTCTGTGCTTAATGTAGCTAATCAGTAGAGCCTATTTTTTAAGCCTTTCCGCTTAGTAGAATTTGCCAGAATTCATACTGCACTGGCATAGCCTTCAGAACTCAAGGATACCTCCTTGCTGAGATGTAGTGTTAGAGTAAAAATTTTGTGCGGGAAGACTCGTCTGTTTTATACTAAATTTCTGCTCTATAATGAACATCATTCTGCCATATAGGTAACTTTTAACTGCTCATACTACTGCTTTCATCAGTAGTTCTTCGTGAAAAACAATTAAGCGTACATTTTGATATTTTTCACGTTATGTGGGCCATTGTGAATCAATAAACTTTTAGCCACGAATGCAGCATAGAATTTACCTACTATACTCATCACTGAGGCTGTCATATACGTACTGAACAGTGCTTAACTTGTTCTATTTTTATCTTCCTTAAATTTGAAGCAATTTAGAATTCATTTACATTTTATAGATGCTGAGAAAAACTCTTAAAGGAAGTGAAAGTAAAGAATTTAGTGAAGCACAAGACATACCATCTTTGGTTCCATTTGGAGATGTGGTATGTAAAAGCATTCTATGCATCTATAAATTACTTTATAGCTCCAGCTAATTCATCATCTGGCTTTTGGGTATTCAACAAGAGTGTACATGAAATAATCTTTGACAAAATTTCCATCACTTCTCCTTTTTTATGAAATAAAGATTTTATAAGAATATTCATTCAAAGAGGTTTATTAAAGTAATTGAAAATAGCTTATTGCAAAGAACGAGTGAATGATACTTATACTATTAATTACCTAAATATAGATGTTTTTTTAAAATCATCAAACTAGTGTGGATGTAGTATTGTAGTATGGGAGTAAGAAAACTAAATTATCCTCTAACCATCCACACATAATACTCTGAAAATAAGAATTCATAAATATAGCTCCCTGTTTTCTGGATAATCTGGATTAATATTTGATGAATGACAAGACTACTGTATTTGTACTTGATGCTTTGAAAAATAGAAAATACTCTTCAAATACATGGTAAATTTGGATATTTACCCCTTGTTTTATTCTTTGGAATACCCTGCAAACAGTATCACAGCAAATCACATATTAGACAGTCCCACAATTCCTTTCAGTTCATAGGATTGTAGAACTGGAGCTGGAAGAAAATCCAGGTTCCATCTAGTCTAACTCCTTAATTTTACAGTTAAGGAAATGGGCTTAGGGAAAGTAAGTGATTTGCCCAAGTCTAGCCAGAATCCCAATTTATAGTGTTATGTATCAAAGGACTGAGTACTTCATTGATGATTAAAAAGGTTAGAGGCCTTACTCATTTGTTTTGCTTCTCTCAGGAAGATCCCATACTCTTCAAAAAAAAATGCATATTTCACCACCAGGAAATGAGATTAGTCTGTAGTATGACCCAGTGTAGCATACGTTCAAAAGTGGGTTTGCTTTAGTAGTTGCTATAACTAACATCTTTTCCTACCTGTTGAATTTGAGAATTTCAACCTTTGATTATAGCTATCTATGCTTTTGTGTCCTTAAAACAATATTTTTGTCTTAGGATTTTAGGAAGGCATTATACTCTGGCGTTATTCAGTTCAACTCAACAACCATTACAATGTGCAGGGTACTTAGATTTTTTTTTTCAAATATCATTAGACCTTCACACTGTAGTTTATGCTAGCATTGCCTTAAAAGAAAGATGAAAGCTCTGTGTTGCACTATGAAATCATCATCATCATCATCATCATTATTATTGTTACTATGACTACTGTGGAAATTGATCTGGTTTCACACAATATTAAATACTATTTGCTCTGAAGTAGCTATAACGTTCAACATGCCTATCTATGTTCATTTGGCTGATATTTCCGTTTTGTAGTCAAGAAATGCTGCACTTATTTTATGGTTAGAAGACTCATTTTTTTTTTGTATTCATCTCAAATTATCACTGCCTTAGATTCATTTTCTGTATAGTTTGAATAGCACTTCCACAGAGTCATGGAATCTTACAGCTGGAAGGGACTGTGAGTCTAAACATGGCTGAACTAACACACCCTCTTCAGCAATTTGACAAGTGATCATCTGGCCTTTGCTTAGAAACCTCCAGTGAGGGAGAATCTACAGCCTCCTGAGGAAGCCCGTTCCATCTCTGGATAGCTCTGGTCACTAGGAGGTTCTTCCTTCCATTAAGCCTGGATTTCCATCTTTGCAGTTTCCACCCATTGCTCCCAGTTCTTTCCTCTGGTGTTAAACAGAACAAGTCTGATACACGTTCCCCAGGACAGTCCGTTGAAACCCCTGGATCTTTTGTAGACAAACTTCTTTCTAACCATAACTTTTTCATCTTATACTTGTAAAGTTTATTTTTGTAGCTCAAGTGTAAGACATTATAAGTTAATCCTCTTAAATTTTATCTATATTTTAACCCCTTGTTTTGTCCTATAAAGGTATTTTTAGACCCTGACAAAGTCATCCATTGTTAGTTATCCCTCTCAGCTTTCTTTCATCTACAGATTTGGTAAGCCTGCCATTAATGTTTTTATCCAGATTATTGATTAAAAATGTTGTAATATAGATATCATGAGACACTCTACTAGCGTTTTTTTTTCAAGGTAACAGCAAACCAGTAAGGAAAACTTTTTACCCTTTTCCACTTCTCTGGTACTTCTCCTGATCCCCATCATCTTTCAGAGATGTTGTCAATGAACACATTTGCCAGTGCTCTCAGTACTTGGGAATATGATGCAGCTGGACCGGGTAACCTGACTGCATTGGGGCAGCTAGGTGCTCGCAAATTCCCTTTAGTTCTTGCTACCACAAATAGTGCTATTATAAATATTTCTTGTATACACAGAAACATTCTCTCTGTCTTTGTGTTCTTTGGAGCATATACCTAAGTAGTTTCACCATGTCAGAGATTATGTATGATTTAGTGATACTTTAAATATAATTAAATATAAATGTAATTTCCAGGAAAGTTAGGCCAATTCAGAGTTCCACTAATAGTGAATTAGTGTGCCTGTCTTACCATAGCTCCTCCAACGTTTTACCATTTTTGTCTTTCATTGTCTTTGACAATCTCATCTCTTTCTTATTCCCATTTCTATTATCAATATCCCATCCACACCAAGCAGTCATCTTCTACATTAAAAAATTCTCCTCTTGTCCCCTGTGTAACTAAAAAAAATTCCCAAACTTTTAATTTTCCTTAGCTTTCCTTGACAGTCTCTGCTAATTCTGAGTTTTAGGACTCCTGGTACTGCCTTAATAGAATATACCACATTTTTGTGGTACCTCTGTTACCTGCCATTACTTCTATCTTCTGTACGTGTCTTTTAAATTTTTTTATTATATGATGAGTTCCTTGAGCATCCCTGTTGGTTGATTTAAGAAATTCCATTTGCCTAATCATCAGCATGGTTATTCCTTGCATCTTTCATTCTTGAGAGCTTCCCATCTCTCTTGTGATGACTTCTTACATAAATATTTAAGTCATGGGAACCTACCTATCCTTTACCCAATCCTTTTGAAATCTGCTATGCTAAAAGCTGTGGTAAAAGGCCGATTTTACCTGGCTGTACTCTCCTATATCACAAATTCTAATATGGAATAGTGATTTCCTCCATTCTTCTTTGGCTCCTACCTCTTCTACTGTAGTAATCAGTTTTTCAATCAAATCCTGTTTGGTTCCTCCATCTTTTGAAGTCTACCATAAACTTTTATAAATAAATCTATCATGATAATAATAAATAAATCTATCTATGATAAATCTATCATAAGTGTATCATAAACTGTTATATTTGCTGTTGCAGTTAACATACCTACTGCTCCTATCCTGTACCCAGCCATGTAGTTGGTTTAGTACTAAGGGAGTCGTCTTCTAATTAGGATGATTAGACTTCCCATTCTTATACTCTTTGTCTGGATAATAAAGCAGGAAACAATGCTGATTATAGTGGAAGTTATGGCACAGAAGTGTAAAGGGTTCTCCAAAGACAGGGGAGTTTAAAAAGTATTCAGTGTACAAATATGAATCAGGTATGTAACAGGTAGTTTATTCCTATACAGAAAGAAAATTACTAAGCATAAAAAGTATCACCACATGTATTACAGAATGATTCTAACAGAATTCAGTAACATAACTATGGTTATAGTCATTTGGGAGGTTAATATTTTAAGCCTCATCAGATCAGAATATAGTGTTGCAGTACTGCTGATTAGGAATTAATGGTATTGGACGTTGTCCAGTCAAACAGCCAAGTTTTTCTGGTGGTCAGTTTCTCCATCAGTTACTGATGCTCTGGGGATTTCATAGCCACTGATTCAAAAACCTTCCAGGACATTCAGACCCACTTGATCAGTTAACTTTTGACATCCCACTGGTGAAAAGTAGCTTAGTTAATCTTTCTTATTATTGAACAGCAATGAATCTCCTGCTGCTGTGGTGAGGGGAGAGGGCTGCCGTGTATCAGTTGTACAGCCTGGTCTTCTGTCTTGGAGGAAGGAGAATAATACCATTCCTTCTGCCCCAAGTACTCCCTTTATCTGCCTAAAGCTCTGAAAGGACTCTACTCTGAGAACAAGACCCTGTGGACACTGGAGATTTATCTAAAATCTTCTTATAATGATTAACAAATTCCCACCTGGTCATACCTTCTCTATGTCAGGGATTCCAAACCTCAGTGGTCATCATTTGAACCCCATTCTCATCCCCAAATGCCCAGTCCCTCATTTCCATTGCCCAGTGCCCTATCCCAAAAATACCTCTTCCACTGTGCTCTTTTAATTGTCTGCTTCATAGGTAACAACTTTCTTTTGTCTTAAATCTCTTCCTTTCCCACTCTTCTGGCTGTCCTTGAGCTCTGGCTCCTTCCTGGTAACACAGCCTCCCTGGCTACCCTTTCCAGTACTTCTATAACTGTCACTCATTTCCTGTCAACTCCCTGATCAAGATGAGGGAGTTGGAAAACTCTTTGCTTCCCATTGCTACTTCCTGGTTTTCCACCTGCCTCCATCACTCAATAACCTATCCTCTTTTAAGTTCAATTAATTCATATCTATCATCCAATCAAAATTCTGATGGGTGTTATCTACCAACTTGCAGGACATACCTCTTCTTTCCTTAATGAGTTCAGTGTCTTTCCTCTCCAATTCTTGCCCTCATACCAGAGGACCTCAACATAAATGATACTTCCTCAGACACCCTAATAGTATAGTTCCTCAGCTTATTTCATGTGACTTACTCTTATACCCCATCATCACCCCAAGATGTACCACTTCCATGTTCATGTACTTTGAAAATCCATTTTCTGGTCACAACCTATTGTCAGTCCACCTCTTCTTCCACCTTCCAACCCCAAACCTGTTTTTTGCCCACTGCAAGACCTCCAATCCCTCAATCCCTCAGTTCTCTACCAGGCCATCATCTCTGTACTAGCTACACTTTCTCCTTTCCCCATTGTTAAATAAGTTCAACTCTACACTGTCCTCTTGAGTCCCTTGCCCCTTTATCCAATTGTCTATCTTTTGAAAAAATATTTTTCCCTAATTATGCATAAAAATAATTTTTACCATTCTTTTTTTAATTTGGGGATAGAGACCTAGTGGTATTATTGGGTCAAAGGGTATGCACAGATTTGTAGCCCTTTGGGCATAGTTCCAAATTGTTCTCTAGCATGGTTAGATCAGTTCACAGCTGATATATTAGTGTTCTAATTTTCCCATGTACCCTCCAAACATTCGTCATTTTCCTTTTCTGCCATATTAGCCAATCTGATAGGTGTGCAGTGGTACCTCAGAGTTGTTTCAGTTCGCATTTCTCTAATCAATGTCTATCGCTAGGTAATTGTTTGCCTAAGATCAAGAAAGCATACAAAAAGAGTATGAAGTGGTCACATGCTGTTATCTGCTTGGAGGCTGGATGAGATTCCTTGCCTACCAGATACTTAGGACTAGATCCAGAATACCCACAAGCTTAACAGCTAGAAAGAAAAACTGAAAAAACCCAGTAGATGTCTTCTGTACCTGCTGAGTCATCAGCTCTTCTGACTCAATAGACAATTAAGAAACTTTTTAATTACCACACTGTGCAAGCCCCAGCATTACTGTGGGTGATAATAGTTCCCTTCCCCCACACACCCCAAGCTTCCATATACACTGTTAGGATCAGGCAGGTAATATCTGTACATTCTCTCAAGAAATGGCACTTATTGTGTAGTTCACACACCTTACAAAAGGATAAAATTATCATTAAAGCAAATTTTAAAATGTTAACTACTGTGCTTTAGGCAGAGAGCCCAGGCAATATCCAAATAATTGAAGTTCCTTATCTCAACTATAACATACTTCCATGCCAGTATTGGTTTTTTTTTCCCATCTGTTTATACTTCCACTTTTTCTTTTTGACCCATGGTAATATCACTTCTCTTTCTTCCTTTATTGTTCTTCACACAAATTTCTTCGAATGAATATATCTTCTAAATGTTCAGTAAATGATATTCTGTCTCTCTTTTACTCTCTTAACTATACTTATAACATCCCAGAACCATATTCTTAGTCATATAACTCATCTCACTAAGCCTCAGTGATCTACATGAAAGCAAATGGGCCTCCTTGAGAGATGCTCCCTCCCTTTCCCTCTCCCTCTCCCTCTCCCTCTCCCTCTCCCTCTCTCTCTCTCTCTCTCTCTCTCTCTCTCTCTCTCTCTCTCAAAGACTACTTCTCCCTGTCTTTTTTCTTACTGTCTTTTTTAAAGACTAGATCTCTTATCTTATCTACAAGGCCTACTTGGGGGCCCAGGGCCACTATTATTGGCTTTGACCAGTTTCATTTCCTACCAGAGCCAGTTTGTCCCTTTAGGCACCCTGGTGCCCTGCCTCCCCAGCCAGAGGCTTGCTATATTAATTCTGAGCTCACCATAAACACCTCTATATCTTAACCCACAATAGCTCAGAAATCCCAAGCTCAAGAGGTCCACAAGCCTCACTTTCCCCAATAATAAAGATTTACATGTGTGTACCACCATGCCTAGCTCATATTCCTTTTTTTTTTTTGATTTTGTAGATTTCTAGATGTGTCTTCTATACTGTAAAAGCTATGTTGTAGAAGCTTCTCTCTATGGCATCTACAATCTACTTGGGTGATCTTCCCCACCATACTTTTCAATTTAAAACTCCTTTGATTTGGATTTGTAAGATTCTAGGCAAATACATTCTTACCATCCCTTGTTTTGTTCACTCCAATAATTAACCAAAAGTTGTTTCTAAAATTCCTTTAGAATCTTAAATGATATAAAGCTTTGAATCCTGTACCAAACAGTACATTTCTAATAATAGAATATCATATGCTGTCATTCAGCTAATAGAAAAAAATTTTAAATAATCCAGAAAAAAATTCTGAAAGTTTTGTGTTGAAGCATTAGTTTTATAAACATGGAGAGCTCATTTCAATGAGTGTTCAAAAATGTTAATGAACATTTGCTCACTTTTTCCTTTTATCTCTATTTACTTAAAGTTTCTATCTAGTTTTATTCTTTCCTTAGAGAAAAACTAGTGAATGTTTATAAGCCCAAAAATGAGAGAAGTATTTCACATTTAAAAGACCTCTCTGTACAGGATAAAGTAAAAGAAACAACAGTTGATAATTTAAATGGGATCACTCAATAAAATAATGTTTTTATTTCTTTGATTCTCATAGGTTGGCTGCCTAGCTGTTCATATAAAGAGATGCAGACATTTTTCACCCAGGAGTATCCTTTCTCTTGTTTTTTTTTTAACTGTTTAAAGTAAAATTCCGTTTTCATTTCCATTGACAACTCTATTAATTTTTATATTATGGGTAGCCATAGTCATTGTCCTTGGGAATTATTCTACATCATTCTTCTTAAGAAGCCATATACTTCTTTTTCTAATATTTCTTTTTTTCCTCTTCTAATAATTGTTTTCACTTCTCTCATTCTTATGCAAAAATCTATCTCATGAGAGATTTGAAGGGGTCTGGAGAGATGTTGGGGCAGCTAGGTGGTGCAGTGGGTAGAGTGCTGGACCAGAAGTCAGGATGACTCATCTTCCTGAGTTCAACTCTGGCTCAGATGCTTACTAGCTGTGTGACCCTAGGCAAGTCATTTAACCCTGTTTGCCTCAGTTGCCTTGTCTATACAATAAGCTGGGGAAGGAAACAGCAAACCACTCCAGTATCTTTGCCAAGAAAACTACAAATGAGATCAAGAAGAGTTGGACATGACTGAAATGACTGAACAACAAAAACAGAGACATACTTGAGAACCATAAAATAACAAGGATCAAAAGTCATTGCTGTGATCATTAGGTTAAATATCTCACCTGTGGCTCCAAGAGGCTGCAGTATGTGCTTGTCTTGGCAGACAAGCTAAACCAGGTTGAGGTTAAACAACGGGCCTCAAACCTGTCAGTGAGTTAGGGAGATGTCTACCCCAAGCATGTGAAGACTTCCCCTGGCAGAAAGGGCAGATGAGAACAATTTACTCCAGCTGCCATGAAGGTGACTGAAGCAGGCATTGTAGAATGCTTAGAGTTTGGTCAGACATGGAAGACACCAAGATCATCCACTGCATCTTGGACCATTGCCAGTTGTCTTGAGTTTTGTCATTCATGGACTTGGATGACTCTAGAAGAAAGAGTGAGGCTGATGACTTTGTGCAACTCTGCCTCCAGATTAAGTTAAACTTAAATCCAATTCATGGGCAAGTTAAGATATTACCTCCGATGTCATTAGTCCTCCTCAAAAATGAAGGACAGACAATAGGTTATATGTGCAGGATATATCCTTTCAAGAGAAGTTACTTCTAGTTAATTTTCAGGAGATTTATCTCACCCTTCTTTCCTTCCCTCCTTTCTTTCCTTCCTTCTCTCTCTCTCTCTGTCTCTCTGTCTTTCTCTGTTTTATGCTCTCTGGAATAAATGCTTGTTGATTAAACTGCCCTCCTTTTCAAAGTCTACTCATTGATATTTTTAACTTTGTGTCTTAAAATGAACTGAGTATATATCTTGAGTTTAGTCATTAAGTAGCATTAAAACAGTGCCATTATGGTTTTTCCATCTTTTTTATAATCTACAGAAATTAAAATTCTGGTTGATACTAAAAGGAGTTGTTTTAATCAGAAAAGCAAAAGATAGTTTAATCACTAGAATTTTATAAATAACAGGATAGACTAGGGCTTGGCTATATATCTGCAATTAATCAGAGGGTTGAAATTACCTGACAAATTTGTCCGATGTACACAGCCAGTGTGGATAATTTAGGCCAAATTATTTCACCCTAACAATGTTAAAATTATAAATGAATTATTTTCAAGTGCTCTTAACTTTATAATTTTATAACTTTATATTTTTGCTCTTAACTTTATAATTTCCTAAAAATTATATTACGGTCACCAGTATTCTTCATCAGTCTGTTAAAGCAGATGTTTATGCAGTTAATTGAGCAAGGATTTATTAATTACCTACTATATACCAGGCATATGTGCTAAGCATTGAAAATATAGTCAAAGAGATAGCCCCTGGCTTCAGAGAGTTTATGTTCTCATAGATACTTTATGAACTAATATATGTTGAAAGTTTTTGAGAGAGAACATTATGTGGAGGAAAAGGAAGATGTAGTCTGAGAAGTACTGCCCTGCTTTCTATGTACCACCTTACTTCACCACTTTACTTAGTCATAGACAAAAAAGGCTGTTCTTAAAAGATTCTGTTCTTTTAAGATACATGCATCAGCTAATACTTTTTCATTGATTTGAAGATTTTGGCCTGAGTTGTCTAAATTAATTAAGTTGATACAAAATCATTGCTCAATAGCCAAAAAAAAAATATGCTTCCTGAATTTCAACATCTATTTTCAGTCAACTTACAGTATTACACAAATTTATTTATTCGTATCACTATAAACAAGTTCATGAAATGTACTAAAGCTCATTCTGTGAATTTTAAGAACAATGAGAAGAAACCTGCAATTAAGTTTGACGAAGTGAAATACTTCTCTGTACAGGTAACATCAAAATTTTCATTTTAACTAACGAAATATTAATATAGACTTACAGATATCAAGTATGCTAATTGTATAAATGTTCCCTCAATATAATTGTTACTCAATCATAACAATTGTTACTCTGGCCTTAGTACTTCCCTCTCTCTATTCTCTCCCTTTTTTATCTTACTCCTGTGGCTTTCTTACAAATAGATTCCTAAAGGTAATAAGAAGCCCCAGATCTTATTGAGTGATGGGGCTAATGTGATCAGGACTAGACTTTAGGGAAATCATCTTGGCGGCTGAATGAAGGATTAGATAAGGAAACCAAAGAGGAAGCTATTGCAGTAATCCAAGTGAGAGGTGATAAAGCTCTGAGTGAGGGTATCGGCTGTATGAGTGGTGAGGAAGTTAGGCATGCAAGAGATGTGGTGGAGATAGAACTCACGAGATTGGGCAGTTAATTGGATGTGTTGGGTAAAAGAGTGAAGAGTCAAGGATGACATCCACTGGACCAACAAACCTAGGGAGCATATTCTTACAGCTTGTGGCCAAAGCTTTCCACATAGCTCACTTCCAACTACATAGCTTGCAGTGAGGCAGTTTACCATGCCAAAGAAGAGAAATCGTGATACTGCCTGTGGTTTATATCATTTGCCACCTGTCACCTTAATACTTACTAGCTCAAGATCTAGAAGTATATAAATCCCAAATTAATATGTTGGGTTGGGTCAATATGATACTACTCTCCCATTTTTGTCAGATACATTAGTTCCAAGCACCGAGATTGTTTTTCACCGTTCAAATCTTTTATCTCTCTAGATACAGAAACAATGCGTTTTGTTTCTAAACCTTAAGTAAGATGCAAAGCTTAGCATTTCTACTGTCCAGTAGGGTTTTATAGAAGTTTAAAGAAATTTGCATTGAAATTAACTGATAAGGAAGAAACAAGCTTGTAGGCCAGACTAATTAGGAAAGGGCCAAACACTGGATCGGTCCCCATTGGGTGTGCTCTTCTCACTACCCTAGAGTCATGATCACCTTGCACTTCTGCTCTTGTTGTGCAACAGTTGGAGAATGGGCTTAGTCTAAACCCTCTGACAGGTTCTCATGGCTTATTTCCCAGCAGATGCTCACTGCCTGCTTGCTTTTTGTTTGTTTTGTACATTTCTTGGTTCTTCCTGTCTTCTGTCAAATAAATCCTTTTTCCACAGTTAGGAGTCAAGAGCAGCCCATTTCACTAGAAGCAGTGGGTATGTCCCCCCCACCAAGAAGTTTCAATATCTAGCTTCAAACTCTTATGATAAAGCCAAAATACTTCATCTACTTCTGATTTTAGCTGCATTTGCTTTGTTTATACAAAAAAAATTGCAGTTTCATCCACAAATCTTGGGATGGTGTGTCCTAATGGAGTCATATGACAAGCTTTCTTTAAATTAATTTTCTCCTTCCCAACTTTTCACATTTTTTGTGAGATTATAATGCTTGTAAGTCTTTGCCGTTACCCTTTACCTAAACATTTTGAAAAGGTTGCTTTTGGAGACCATATCTCTTTCCTGTCCAAAGAAATCAACTGTTTGCTATTTGTAGCAGTTTCTGGCCTTTTTTTGACCTTCCCATTGTGACCTTCTTATCTAGATTGCCTTTCAGTTAAACTTTGACTTAATAGCTATTTGAATAGGTCAGTAGTTTATCAATATACATATATCCTGGACAGGTATTATGGATGGTCAATTAACTGGGTCAAAAGTAGAATAGGAAAAAGTAGCATTTTCAACAATGCTCCTTGAGGTAAAGAAGCTCACTTTTAAAACACCTGTCTTGTCCCAGTGATCATAGTAATTCATGTATATGCCATATCTCTCCTAAGAGATTATCATGCTTAACAGATTATTATGCTTATTGCATTGGATCGCTCCTGGCCGGGTGATCAGAGGAGGCTTCATTTAGAAGGTGATATTTGAACTGGACGTTGAAAGATATAGACAAGTGTAGACTGAAAAAAAGAACGTTACAAGAAGAGGAATTGTATGTGCAAAAGCTCACAAAGGGATTGTGTAAGAAATAGCTACATAGGAAAGCAATAGATGCTCAGGTCATCTTTGTTGAAGAATAGCATCTGTTTTCTGTGACTCTGGTCTGCTAACACCACACATGAAAGCCAGTTTGATTGTTTTATGGAATACTTGATGATGATACTTTAATTTTAATTCATTTAATTTATTATTTAGCTTTTTAAAATGTTGATTAATTCATAATGTTATTATGGTGAAATGAATTGAAATTGTAGGTTTAATACTATTTTATGCATTTTGAGCGTGATAGGTGTAGGGTAGTATAAAGAATATTGAATTTAGAGTCAGAGAACCGGGGTTTGAAATCTGCTAACCACCTTTATAACCTTGAACAAATCAAGTCAACAAGGATTTATTAAGTGCCTACGATGTGCCATGTACTAAGATAAGTACTGGGAATACAAAGAAAGATGAACAGTTCCTGCCCTCAAGGAGCTTGCAGTGTAATAGAGGAGACAACATAAAAACAACTATATATAATGAAAATATATATAGGATATACTGGAGATGATATCAAAAGGACAATACTAGCATTAAGGGAGACTGAGAATAACTTCTTGCAGAAGGTAAGATTTAAGCTGAGATGCAAAAGAGGCCAGGAGATGGAGATGGAAGAGGGAGAGAATTGCAGGCCTGAAGTGACAACCAGGGAAAATGATCAGAGTTGAGAGATGTGGAGCGTTTTGTTCAAAGAACAGCAAGGAGACCAGTGTCTGTAAATCATAGAGGATGGGGGAGGGGAGAATCGTAGAGGTATGAGAAGACTTGAAAGGTAGGAACGGGGCCAAATTTTGAAGGACTTTGAATGCCAAATAGAGGATTTCATATTTGATCCTGGAGGCAATTGTGAGCCAAAGAAGTTTATTGAATGGGGGAGGTGATATGTTTAGACTTGTGCTTTAGGAAAATCAGTTTGACAGCTGAGAGAAGGATGGACTAGAATAGGGAGAGACTGAGGCAGGCAGATCCACCAACAGTTATTGGTAGTTCAAGCATGAGGTGATGAAGGCCTGCACCAGAGTGGTGGTTGTAGCAGAGAGAAAGGGGGTATAAAACAGAAGCTTCAAATGTAAAATTGACAGAATTCGGCAAAAGAGTAGATATGGGCAAAGTGAGTAAGCAGTCAAAGATGATGCCTGAGTTGAGAGTTAAGTCACTTAACCTCTCTAGGCCTGAACTGTTTCGTCTGTAATATAGTTGTTGGACCATATGATCTTTAATGTCCCTTCTAGCTCTAAATCTTATCATCCTGTGAACTGGCTTTATTTTCTATTAGCTGTGTGATTTTGAGCAAATCACCTAAACTCTGAATTTCGATTTCCTCATCTGTAAAATGAGAATAATAATATGTTTGGACACTACTTGACACAGTTGTTGTGGTCAAATGAAATAGGACATCTAAAGCATTGTTTAAAGTGTGTTATATGTCAGCTATCATTACTATGATTATTATTACTATTTAGGTTCCAAGACGTCAAGATGATGAAAGGAATATGATTTATTTGGAACTAATGGAATTTGATGAATTGGAAGCTTACCCTGTACTGTTGGGAAGTTTTAGCTTACATCTTTATGAAATTATTCAGGTATGTATTATTTATTGTAACAGTTTTATCAACTGCATACCTAACTATGTTCAGTCAGTGTTCATGGTTACCAGAAGACTCAGTTTCAATATCTACCTTCAAACTCTTATGATAAGACCAAAATACTTCATCTGCTTCTGATTTTAGCTGCATTTGCTTTGTTTATACAAAAAATATGCTTTTTATATAAATAAAAACTTTCTATCCAAAATGGGCTGCCTTTGGAGGTAGTAGCTTCCTATTCGGTAGGTATTTTCAGGCACTTGTTGGATATGCTGTGGAGGGAATTCTAGTTCAGGTAGGACTTAAGACTAATTGTCTTTTGAGGTCTCTTTCAATCCTAAGATTCTGATTCTTTAATGCATACTTAAATGGACCTGCATCTTGAGTTTGTATTTTCTTAACAGAATTATTTATCTTCTAGCAATTTCATTATATGTGTAACATTAGCTACTCTGGCCCTCGCTGCCTGGAAGGCCAGGCTAGTTAGATTTCACTCCTCCTTCAAGGTTCCCCAGCCCTTGAGGGGATTTAGGGGGGGGTTAGGCTCCCTGCAAATGGCTCCAGCCCTCACCAGCGTTATGTCTTCAGTTGCAGCGGTATGAACCCTCAGTACTCCAGTTCCGTCTAACCACTGACAGATTCACTTTTATATAGAAATACTTACTTCAGAAGATATAATCACAAATATGCAAACTTCCTCACCCACCACAGGAGAGTCATAATTCCCCTTCTCCCTTTACAGTACCTCAGTCTTTGAAGAGTAGAAGGGAATTAGGTTCCTAGTTTAGCTCAGAAACTCTCCCCTCAGTTACCCTAGCTTCTCATGGCGTCCATCCTAACCTGACTGACTACAATGTCCAGCCTATAATCCTGGCTCCAGTGGGGATCATGTCTGGCACTGGAAACTGAGGTGGACAAACAACACAGAACAGAAACAAACACCCTTAGCCCCATTTCTCAGATGAGGTAAAAAGAGGGAGCCGGGAAAGGAAGTCCTTCCTCTCTCACCAGTCAGTTCATGGCTCCCATGCTTTGGGTGAACTATGATCTTCACCCTTTGAATGCAGCAGAGAAGAATGGCTGAAAAATGCAACAGAAAGAGGGCAGTAGAAAGAGAGCAAATAGGGGCAGCTAGTGGTACAGTGGATAGAGTACTGGCTCTGGAGTCAGGAGGACCTGAGTTCAAATCCAGCCTCAGACACTTGACACTTACAAGCTGTGTGATCCTGAGCAAGTCACTTAACCCCATTGCCTAGCCAAAAAAAAAAAAAAAGAAAGAGCGCAAACAGCTCAGTCTGACCAGTTTTAAAGATGTAGGGAGCCAATCAAAGGAAGCTACTCCACCCACGTGGTAATGGACCAAGAGGCCTACAAGTTAGGCATGAGTCACTGGGTATGCCCATGTCTAGGTTATACATACGAATGTCTTTTTTGTTTATAAATAACATTTCATTTGTTATGTTACTTACATCAGTTTGGATAATGTCCTGTGCTGATATAATGCCCATCCATTATCTGAGATGTCATGCATTTAAAAATTTCCCTCTTTTTTTATCTGTCTTCCAGAAAGGATGTTTCACAGAGGAATTTTTTATGAAGATTAGAAACCTGGTAGGGATTTGTTTCAAAATACACGTAATTGAGACACATCTATTAGTGAAAATAAAATTGTTTTATATAGAAATACTTTTTAAAACATACAAATACTTTTAATTTAAAATCTTTTATTAATTCACTCAACATTGTTGTTCTGCTTTCATTATCACTGTGTTCACATCATTCTTCTCTTATCTTTCTGATTGCCGAGAGTCATTTTGGGCTATAAGTATAGGCTAATAGAAATTTTTAAGTATTGCATAGAGAACTTCTGGACCAGTTGGAAAGTTGTCATCCTCGAGATAACCTGGCATTTCTGATGAACATGATAGTATGGTTGAGTGACTAATTAGAAGACAAGATCACTGTGGCCTCAGGTTCAAGAAGAATGAGTCGAGCTGCTAAGAGCCATAATCTCATACATCTTGGGGTCAGCTGGTGATTTCTGGCTACTCTGAGTTCATGGCACTGGACATGGTAGGTGTGGCAGCCCTGATCATCTGGTCAAGCAGACTCAGCATCTGGATTATGAGATGGAGGGAAAATCAATACAGAAATGAGTTTAAATCATTTTTGATATGCCAGTAGTGTAACAAATAAAATAGATGCCACTGGTGTGTTTGTCCCACCAGTTCCAATAGATTAATTTCAGATATACAACTTTCGGGCTAAATCTGGATATGTCAGTTCTCACTCTGGTGTACTCCACATCAGGGCTCTTGAGCGTACAGTCCACCAAGTATAGCCTGACACAGATACTCAGGGAATACATACAGATACTGTACATGCTTCTGACTGCCTCTTCCAGGAGGTCAACAGCATATATATATATATATATAGAACAAGGCCACAAAAGGAGATTATGTCAGGATTCCTAGACATCCATGCTACTGCATTGCTATCCTAAACCTTACTTGGTTTTTGCTACCAAACTCTCCCATACAGGGGCAACTAGGTGGAGCACTGGAAAGAGAGTACTGGGCCTGGATTCAGGAAAACCTGAGTTCAAATATGGCCTCAAACACTTCTGACTAGCTGTGTGACCCTGGGCAAGTCACTTAATTTCTGTTCATCTCACTTTTCTCAGTTGTAAAATGGGAGTAATAATAACACCTACCTTCCAGGATTGTTGTGAAGATCAAGTGCGATAGTATGTAAAACCTTTAGTACAATGCCCTGGCACATAGTAGGCACTTTGCTTATTCCCATTCCTTTCACCTTTCCTATTTCTCCACCACTTCTCTCCACCCCCAGTACTCCTAGTTGCATGTATACACAATCAATGGCTGGATGGTTTCAGTACTGGCCCTGCCTAATGTGAGCTCTCTACTATAGTCCAAGTTTGGGCATCACTGACACACAGCAGCCATTAATCAACAAGTGCTTATTAAGTGCTTACTGTGTGCCAGGAATCAGTGTTGGGAATGCAGATACAGAAGCACAGGTCCTCCCCTGAAAGACCTTGCATTCTAGTGGAGAAAGAAAACACACGAAATGGGACTGAAAAGGGGAGTTTAGGGGGAGAGGGAAGACATGAAAGCATAGTAGAGAAAATGCAAAGTGTAGTTTGAAGATGAATGAAGATGACTGCCTGAGCCTCCTCATTAAAATGGAGGTTTTGGGAAAAGCCGTCCAATCAGGGAAAGAGACCATTGGGACAAGAGTATTTCCAGTGTGTGAATTGCAGGGCTAGAATAAGTTTCCAGGATGAAGAGGTTTCTTAGCATGGTAGAGAAAGTTCAGTGTATAACCCCTATATTTCCATTCCTTTCTGCTCTCATGGTTCATTTACCCCATGAATACTCAGGACTTACAGTTTCAGTTTTTTTATTAAAATGACAAAAAGAGGATAAAGCTGTAATGTTACAAGACAATAATAACAGCTAACATATATATCTTGGCTACTAAGTGCCAGGTACTTTACAAATATCTCATCTGATCCTCGAAACAACCCAGGGATTAGGTGCTATTATTATCCCAATTTTATAGATGAGGAAACTAATTCAAACAGGTTAAGTGACTTGCCCAAGGTCACACAGTGAGTGTTTGAGGCAAGATTTGAAATCATGTTTTCTTGACTCTAGCCTAGGTACTCTATCCACTGCACCACCCAGCTGCCCAAGATAAGAAGTCTTAAAAGTCTTTTCGTTGTAGGTATCCCTAGTCATGTACGTGAAAGTAGGCTTAATATTTCTATACTCCTTACCTCTTTGAGGTCTCATTAAAGTCTTGGTAGTCAGAACCTATACTCTTTGTAAGAAAATAAAAACTACAAGCAATTAAGAGATTTACTAAGCACAAATTATTTTTCTAACTTATCTAATGTCTAGCCAAAAATCATCTTGGGAGTCAGAAACTTGTGGAGTTTCTATCCCCCTATTTCTTTTACTTTCTTCCATCTTATCATCTTAATGATTTTAGATGCTCAATCAAGCTGTCATGGCCTAGGCTGGGGTAGACTTTGAATAGTCCTCCCATTAAGTCTGGTGAGATTTTTCAGTTCCTTTAGACCTTACTTAAAAATCTTTCTAGACATAAATTTCTTGTTGAAGAAGACATTTCCATTTTTTGCCCCCAAAGTTTCTTTGGCTCTTGACCCTTATAAGTTAAATGCTGGGAGTAAAGGGAAGTCAAGAGTATTGTCTTCCTCAATGAATATACCAGGCTTTAATAAATGCTTCGTGACTTAACTTGACTGTCCCTATATGTAA